GATAGGAAGAAGCAGTGATGGGAGCTTCCAAGTTAGGGTGAAATATTAGTTGGTCATTATGAAGATAATAAGCTAGAATGTCAAGGATTTGGGAAGTTGAAGAAAAAGAGGCGTGATTAGGGATTTGTTGAGGAGAGAAAAGCCACATGTTGTTCTAATCCAAGAATCTAAGTTGTTAGACCTGGATAGGAAATGGATTTGAAGTATTTGGTCACTTGGAGATATCAGTCGGGCCTTTGCACAATCCTAAGGAGCTTCAGGGGGAATTATAACACTGGATAAATAAAGAGATGGAGTGTGCTGAGGAGCTGATTAGAAATTTCTCAGTGTCCATAAAATTGAAGAGGAAAACAGATGGTTGGGAATGGGTCTTAACTAATGTGTATGGTCCAACTTCCTACAAGGAAAAGGAAGCTTTTGGGGAGGAACTAGCAGAAATTAGAGGTTTATGGAATGGACCTTGGTGTCTGGGAGGAGATTTTAATGTGGTAAGGAAGTAGTTAGACTTTTTCCCTACTAAGAGGGGCCTTAGACAAGGAGATCCCCTATCCCCCTTTCTATTTACCCTAGTGGCTGATGTCTTGAGCGACTTGATTACAAAGGCAAATGCTAACAATTTGATTAAAGGTTGGAGAATTGGGAGGAAGTGGTGGTCACACACCTTTAGTTTGTGGATAAATTTGAGAGAATCTCCAACCTTAAAGTGAATTGGGGTAAAAGTTGTGTGGTAGGAGTGAACCTAGAGAGTGAAGAGGTGAATATTTTAGCTAGGCTTTTGGGGTGTAAAGTGGGAGATTGGTCATTACAATATTTGGGGCTACCTCTAGGAGAGAATCCAAACTCAAATAGTTTTTGGTACCCAATGATTGAGAGATTCACCAAACAACTGGTAAATTGGAAGAGAAACTACATTTCATTGGGGGGTAGGATAGCCCTTATAAAGTCAACACCAGCCAATCTACCAGTGTACTCCCTCTCTACCTTCAGAATTCCAGTGAAAGTGGCATATCAGTTAAAGAAGATCATAAGGGACTTCTTATGGGAATCAGGGGACACTAAAAACGATCACCTAATGAAGTTGGAGATGGTCTCTAGGTGTAGAGATGATGGAGGCTTAGGAATAGGAAATATTAGGTTAAGAAACACAACCTTGTTGGGGAAATGGATATGGAGATTGTCATTGGAACAAGGATAGATTGTGGGGTAGGATAACCCTGATAGGAGCTCTAGAGGCAATCCAAGACTATCAGAATTTGGGGGAGTATTCTGAGATGGAGACAGTAAAATTGTTGCTATGTATTCAGGGCCTATAAGAGTAGGTGACTCTTTGAGGATGGAGGTAATGGCTTTTCTTCAAGGTGTGAGATTTGCCAAACAGATGGGACTGAACCGAATAGAGGTAAAAGGTGACTCTAAAATGCTCATTTATTGGTTGAAGTCGGGCAGCTTGGGAGCTTGGATTTACAAACATGTTATAAGGGAGATCGCCAACATAACTAAGGAGACTGGGGCTCCTTTCAAATGGACTAGAAGATCATCTAATGGAATAGATGATACTTTAGCTAAACAGGGGATATTGAGGGAAAGGTTATTCTGGGCAGAATTGTAAAAAAGGTCTTTTGGGGTCAGCACCTATTCTGGGGCTGACAGTTGTACTTGATACATCCTAATTTGCTTAATGAAGTCACCGTTTCCAATCATATATATATATACAAAATAGCATATATAATATGTTTTATAGGTGTCATTATTTTTTTATCAATAACATAACCAATTCATTATATTAATAAAAGAAAGGAAGTACAAGGAATATTAAAGGGAGAGATAAACTTTCATAACTCTCCCAAAACAGAAAAGGATTTACAAAGTTTCCCAAAAAATCTGATTTCTTCCCACCCCTTGTTTAGCCAAACTGTCAGCAAATGAATTAGCATCTCTTTTCACCCATTGTATATAATGACCTCCATATCTTGTAGCAAGCTTCTCCTTTTCTCAAAGATGTAGCCCAACCATCCAAGATCCTCCTCCTTTTGCAGCCAATCAATAACTAGTTTGAAATCTCCTTCAATCACCAATTTGTTGATAACTAATCCCTTAGCCTTTTCCGCACCTAACACAGCCATTATTTCAGCTCTCAAGGAGTCACCCTCCCCAATTGAACCTGAAACAAGAACAAGTACTCTACCATCCTCATCTCTGAATACTCTGCCTATACCTAAAGGACCTGGATTTCCTTCACTACTTCCATTTAGTGTTTTAAAAGCGCAAGGTGCAAAAAAGGCACAGGGGTCAATTTGCGCCTGAGGCACAAGGTGCAAGGCGAGGCGTGCGCCTTTTTGAAGCAAGGCAGAAAAATACAAAAAAAAAAAGTAAAAAAAGTAAAAAAAATCAATAAAATGCCAAAAAAATATTAAACATAATATTAATAAAAATATACTTAAATTTTAAAATAAATGTTTTAAAAAACCTATTATCTAAAATTAAAATACATAAACATAAGATGTAAAGCATATTCAAATGAGATTTTAAAAATAAAATCAAACATATAAAACATTTTCAAGCATGTAAAACCTCTAATCTCTTTTTTCACTCAATTGCATTACTTCAAGTAGCTATGCCCCTCGAGGCAAGCCCAAACAAGTCCACGTTAGGTCTTAAATTCTTATTTTTCACACAAAAAATAATCATTTTATAGTTTTAATTGCTTTTTAAGAAGACATTTTATTAGGACGAATGAATGAGCAACATTACCAAATTGGGGGTTCTCAGACCTAAAGTGGACTTGTTTGGGTTTTCTTTGAGGGGTGTGGCACGGGGATCCAGGGGCGGAGCCCCCGGCCCAGCCACTACATTCAAAAAAAGCAAAAAAGCGTCAAACTTTCAAAAGGCGCACGCCTAGGCGCACCAGGCTTGCGCCTTTTGAAAGGGTTGTGCCTAGGACCTAGGTGAGGCACATACCCTGAAATGTGCCTTGCCTATGTGCCTAGGCGTTCCTCAGGCACGCCTTTTAAATCACTGCTTCCATCAAAGTTCAGTTTTATGAAACCTCCATTAGGTGGGGACCAAGAAAGCCTAACCACAACCTTAAAGGAGGAGTAAGAAAATCTCAAACCACTTCCTCATCAGATTACCAGATGAAAAATCTTCAAATAGATTCAGTGACTTCACCCATTGGACCACTTTGATAGTAATGATTTCAAGTAAAGCACCCTACTCTCAACTCCTAAGAAGATTCTTTTATTCCTTTCTTCCCAAATCATCCAACACACAGCCGCCCTTGTACACCTCCAAAGGGTTGTCCCCCTCTTCTTTGGCCAGCTGGAAAAGTTAGGTGTCATATTATTATATCACATACACACACACACACAAATAGCATATATAATTGGTGGGTATGTATTTCTCTTCCTTACAGACTTTATGGGAGGAGATGGATCATTTGGAGGCTCTTCAATGGAGGGACCTTGTGGATGCTAATTAGAACCGAAGAGTCATAAAGAAGACCTATGTGTTTGAGTTTTTAGTAGGACTTAATCTAGATTTTGGTTTTACTAGACAGCATTTATCAAACATCTTGAGCCTTCCTATGCTCTAGCCAGCTAATGGAGGCAAGGGTGTTATTGCTGAGAAGACAGAAGAAGTAATTTGCAACTACTGTAAGAAGCAAGGTTCTAAATATTGATAAGGGTGACAATGGACCGGTTTTGGATTGGACCCTGTCCAGTCCAAAATCAATTTGGATGGATTGGACGGACCAACAAGACATATTGGGTTGGACCAATCCGGTTCAAAATTATTTATTAGATTGGATTGGACCTGGTCCATCCATAACAAATTTATATTGGATTGGGTTGGATTAAGCCAATATCTGGTCCATTGATATAAGATAAGAATATATGTGTCAATGGACCAGGTTTGGGTTGAAACCAATCTAAATCAAAATGAATTTGAACAGATTGGACGGTCCAGACATTAAATTGGACCGGTCCAAATTAGTCCGAAACATTCATTGGATTGGATTGGACCTGATCCATTTATAATGGGCTCACATTGGACTGGATCGGATTGGACCAAATCCAATCCAATTGACACCCTGGCATATCGGCCTGTATAGGTACATTTTTTTGTGTTTTATTTATTTATTTTTCAAAACCGGTTCAGAGGGGTCGGTTTAAGTCCTGGCTGCCCTCTGAACCATGGCCTGACCCGATACACCCCCTGTAGAAGCGTATCGGGAAGGCCCCAGTGCGATAAATATCGGCTGATATGGGCCGATACGTAACAATATTTTGAACCTTGGTAAGAAGATCAAAAAACTGTTTAAAAAAAATGTAAACACCAATACATATTTGAGTGGGATTATTTTTTGTTAAAAAGTTGGAGAAATAGAAGTTTTGTGAAAAGAAGAAACAGAAAATTTATATGTTCTTGTTTACAATGAAACAAATCTACCTATTTGCAATTTAAAAGAAGAAACATTTAGGTGACAGAACCCTTAAGCAGTATTTGTGGTGTAAAATTTTCTTTAGAATATTAGAATTAAGTTATGTTCATCTTGGATATATAGCTTAAAGAATTAAAAAAGAAAATTAAAAAGTTTGTGTTCATAGTGAAGAATTTTCAGATTCTTCTTAAATCAGATACTTGTATCAAAGAACACCTAACACCCTAACACCCTGCATTAACGGTGGTAAAATCATGGATACCATAAGCCTAAATCTACAAGGCATGAAACTCAGATGCTTGTAGCAACTCCTGGATGTTCCTTAGCATGCTTTATAATACCATCACCTCAAGGGACATTGAGTTTCCTTCATGTAGTAACCCTAAAATATCAATTCAGCCAAGTAATAATGTTGGGCAAGTCAACAAAACGTTTTTAACCACATACAGGCCAAGGTTTGAAAGTTAACTGATCAAGTACCTTTTTTTTTGCGAAAGATAATTTTATGCTGAAATGAACTAAAACGATAAAGCATTCATAGAGAAAACTAATAACATACCTAAATCCTCCGTAGAGGTTGATACATCTTTCTTAACAGAAGGTACCTTGCTGACATCAATAAATTTTCCACTTCCAGTTGCTTTACGTAGCTTAGATTGCAATAGCTTTTTCTCTGTGTATTGCAAGTAAAAAAGAAAAGCAAATAACAGTAAACCAAGCATGCTCTCTAGTCTATACTATATAGTAACTAAATGTACTGCATGTAGATGCTCTGCCTACTGACACACTTCCAATTATTTCATGGACACTTTAACAAACACAAAGATAATGTAAGCACCTCTTTATTTTAATAAGAATATATCAGACCTTCAGAAGCTTCCCATATTTTTAACACTAGAAAGCAGTTTGACAATGATTGAAGAAATCATTTTAATACACAAGGCAATATTTTTCAAAATAAATGGACATCCAGAATGGTTGCTATGTATTCAGGACCTATAGGATTTGGAGACTGACTGAAGGCTAAACTGATGGCTTTATTGCAAGGCTTAAGATTTGCTAAGCAATCTAGCTTCAAGCACTCAGAAGCAGGAGACTCAAAACTGGTTGTCTCCTGGACCACAAGTAGGCACAATGTGCCTTGGATTTATAGGCATGCCCTTGGGGAAATAGAAAGCCTGTCAAAGGATTTGAATACTACTTTTAATTTGGTAAGGACTGCAAATGGGATGTGGCTCATATATTAGCAAAACAGGGGGTTTATAATTGGCAGTAGTTGTTTTGGGCATTACTGTAACTCTTCTGTTTTGGGGCATTGAACTAATGTCTACTGTATCTCTGGGTAGCTGGATACCCAATCTGCTGTAATTACTTGTTTTCACAATTTAATACAATTAATAAGATTTCCTTACTGATCAAAAAAACAAATAAATGGACATGCATGGCAGTGACCAATCGCTACATTAATTCTTACCTTCTTCCAGGGCATCAATTGTAGACTGCAGTTCCTCACGCTCTTTGTCAAGACTAGACACTTTCTTTCTGTAGGGTATCAGAAACAAGGATTCTTGTAAAAATTCTAGCATCATGCAGTATTGCAGCTTCAACCATTCCAAAGAAAAGATGATGATACATTTTAAAAAATTGAAACACAAATACTAGAAGGGCCAAGATCCAGGACCATCGGGGGTTGGTGGTGTTTTCAGATCGGAGGCAGGTTCAGTAATAGCTCTTTTCTCAGGACCAATTGAATTTGGGGATTCACTGAGAGCAGAAATTCTGGCTTTGTTAGAGGGGATGAAAAGGGCTAAGGAACTAAATATAAACAGGTTGATTATTGAAGGAGATTCACAAGTGGTAATTGGCTGGATAAAGAGGACAAATGATGTGTTATGGACATACATTAATGAACGAAGGCAATTCAAGTGGTTAACTCAAGGAATGGAAGTGCATATCCAGTGGGTTAAAAGATGTGCCAATTCATTTGTAGATGCACTGGCTAAATAGGGGGTGGGAAAAAGTCATTTGTTTTGGGCTACACTGTAATTTTCCTTTTGGGGGAGAGTTAAGAGAGTTCACCTCCTCCCACCTTTGCATTTAAATATTTTCTTCTTAATTAATGAAAGTTTTCTGTCACTGATAAAAAAAAATACTAGAAGGACCACGAGGAAAAGAAAAAATAAAATAAGACATATGACAGCAGGAAAGGCAGCCAAATCTAATGCTTGAAACATCGTGAGCACAATTTCGCAAGAGGTGAAATAGGGGTGGCAACAGGGAGCCCAGCCTGAGTTATGGCTCAGGTTTTTTGTACCAAGGTCAGACATGGGCCAAGCCAGCTACAGGCCAGGTCACGCCTGAGCCAGGATGGGCCAGATACATGAAGGTCCCAGTAAGGCCTCCACCCTGATTGCATATATGGTATGCAGCAACTAATATTTGTGTTGTCACACATGGATACCATGACTTCATGTATGGCCTGGTCGAATGTGTTTACCATTTTCAATGGAGATTGAAGTGGCTAATGTTCAAATCTCTAAAACAGCCCTTTTATATGATGTTTTCCCCATTTACCTCAGATATATACTTGAAAAAAGTATAAAAACATATAAAAGATTACATGAAAGTTTTATAATGATAATATCAAATGTAGAGACACAGTACAATAGATTTGTGCGGTCCCTCCTTATGTTTATGTTCTTTGTTTGTTTGTTGTTATTGTTTCTTTTTCTTATATAGGTGGCAGGGGTATAAGTGTCATTTTATTGATGCTTTATTTGCGAACATATAAATAGAACTAATGCCGGTGGCAGGACCACAACTAACTGCACCCCTTTTCTCATTCTCTCTTTTCTTTCTCTTCTTCTCTTCTCTTCTCTTCTGTTCTCTTATTTTATTATTTTTTTCTTGCTGAATTCACATCAGAACATAGTTTGATTACAAACCCTTTCAGACAAGCTGGTATGAGAGCAGGCCTAGGGTTGATTAGGGTTCTCTTGTGGACTTCATCCAGCCGGCTGCATGAGAATTTCCTAGGGCTGGAGCTTCAGCATATGTTATCTGATTCTTGGATGTTATTGGAGAGTTCGATTACTTCCCAAGGTGTTGTGTGACCTTTGAGATTGCCTAGTGAGAAGGAAGAACCAGAGAAACCAGGTAAGTTCAAGGTTTAGGGTTTAAACCTGAGATTGGAACCAACACTCAGAGATTTTGTGTTGATTTTATCATTCTTATTGAGATCAACAGTCAGTAGGTGTTTGGATCCTTCTGGAAGGAGCAGTGATAGAATTGTTTTTCTACAGGATTGGTTCTAGGGTTTCCCCCTAATTCTTCAATCAGTTTTTTGATTTCCGGCCCATTACTTCGGCTGTTAATCACCATTGTTGCCTTTTTTTGGAGAACTTTGAGGACTGTTATTTGTTTTGTGTGGTTGTGCAAACCTTTCCAGTCCTTTGGAGACTGAAATTGGGTTTCTCTTCTTGAAGTTGTGGTGTTCTTTTTTTTTTGTGGTGAATTTGTCATGGAGACAGCTGGGAATGAATTGGAGGCTCAAGGAGGACTTGTAGGGACTGGAAGTATGACGAATAACTCATTTTAGATCACTATTGTTAAGTTTGATGGAAACAACTACTTGGAATGGGCACAATGAGCCATGATGGCCATTGGAGGTGTATAGATCTAGGGTATGTGACTGGGGATACAAAAAAACCAGCCAACGAAGATCCATCTCATGCCAAATGAGTTCAAGAAAACTATTTGGTGATAACTTGGGTGTGCAACTCTATGCAGCCTCACAGCCTCACATTAGTCAAAATTATTTGTGGGTGAAAACAACTAAGAAGAATTGGGAAAACATGAAAGAGACTTATTCTCAGCCTCTAAATGCTACTAGAGTCTATGAGTTGAAGAGTGAAGTAAGCAATCTTTAAATAGAAGGAGAAACCTATGTCAATTTACTTCTCTAATTTGAAATCTTTATAGTATGTAATTGATCACTTGGAGAAATTGAATTGGAAAACTAGAAGGATGCAACAACATATAGGAAGTTGGTTGATACAAATAGTGTTTGAATTTCTTGTTGACCTGAATTCAGATTATGATAATGTGAGGCAACAACAGCTTACTAGAGACAGTATCACTTTATCTCAGGCTTATTCACTAGTATATAGTGAAGAAAGTAAGAGGTAGATTATGTTAGAAAATCCACCTATGGAATCAACTTTAGCAGTTGTAAAGCTGAAGCATGGTGGTGATAAGGAGAAGGATATGAAGGAAGACAAGAGGGAGATATTTTATGATTATTGTAAGAATCCAAAGCACACTAGGGACACTCGTTGGAAGCTTCATCTTCATCTTATTCTAGCAAAAATTAAGAATAAAAGGGGAGTGTCAATGCAGCCATTGCTACTAATGATCCACCTTCCTTTAGCACAAGATCCACATCACTAGATGCTCTAGTTGCAGTCAAAGCTTCCTTAACTTAGTTGGAAAGTGAGGTTGGCATCTCTGGATCATCTCAGCCACTAGATACTATACCTACTATCCCCCACTTCAGCTTTTGCTCACACAAGTACAAGGGATACTACCCATCATGCTTCAACCCTAGGTAACACTAGTCTTTTTTGGATTGTATTTTTGGGTGCCTTTGATCATATGACTAGCTTGTCTTCTTTGTTTATCTCTTATTATCTTATAATAGAGACAAAGTACTATTGTTGATGGCTCTCTTGTCCTTATTTCTAGCAATGGAGATATTAGAGTGTTTGATGCCATTTCCTTGCCTTCAGTCCTGCATGTCCTAAGCTTGGCATTAATCTGCTTTCAGTTAGTACTATTACTAAAAACAAAATTGCCTAGATACCTTTTTCCCTGATCATTGTCTCTTTCAAGATCTAGTGACAAGGAAGGTGATTGGGACTAACCGTGAGACAAATGGAATCTACTTCCTTGAGCATCCATTTGGGAGGCATAAAGAAGTTGGGAGGTCTTTTATTTCTCAGTCTGTGAGTGGTCATTCACCATTTGACTCATTAAGGAGTCTTTTTCCTACTTTGTTTAAGTCGGTCTAAGTGTTTAGTTTAAAGTGTAAGAGTTGTGAACTTACAAAGCATTGTGGGTCAAATTATTCATCAAGTAAAAAAAAAGCATTATTCCTTTTGAAATTGTGCATACCAATGTTTGGGGATTATATCATATTACTTCTATGGGGGGAGGGGAACAAATATTTCCCATTGTTTGTTGATGACTATTCTCATTTCTCCTAATAATGCCAAGGAGTATTTTTTTTAAACCCTTAGCTTCATATTAAGGGGAAAAGATTGAACTGATTCTGATCCGAGCACCGATTAGAAGGCCTTCATCGCTCCTGTCACTGGTAACTGATACCTCTGGAAGGGGAATCTGATCTCTTGTCTGCGAGAGAGTTAGAGAAGCAGAGAATTCCTCCCATCTTCAGTAGTGCCCCCTAGCTGGATCAGGAGTGGAATGTGAGCGAACTTTCAAGGTGGTGCATGAATCAGTTATTTGCTCCCTCCTATCCCAGGTCCTGATTGAGTATGGGGTTACCCATTAGAGTACCTGTTCCTATATACCTCAGTAGAATGTAGTTAAGAGAAAGAATAAACACATCTTGGAAGTTGCTAGAAGCATCATACTAAATTTTAATATTCCTATACTTTTTTTTTTTTTTCGGGGGGGGTTACCATCCACATAACTGTGTATCTCATCAACAAGGTTCCTTCACGGATTTTAGATATGAAAGCTCCTTTTAACATATTATATTCAAATAAAGAATTAATCATTGTTCCCCTTAAGACCATTGGGTGCACTTTCTTTGTTTAAATCCTTGGACCTCATCATTCTAAATTTGATCCTAAGGCTATCAAGTGTACTTTTCTCGAGTATGCACAAAATCAAAAGGGGTATTGCTTCTATGATCTTGTCTCTGTGAATCATTTTGTGTTATGAATGTTACTTTCTTTGAGGATGTTCCCTATTATCCTAGGTTTCTTCTCAAAGGGAGAGTGGTGAAAAGGGTATTTATACTCTAGAATTCTTGTTACCTATTCCAATCACTGAGTGGTTTTGTGGTAAAGAGAATTGCTAGAAGTGTAAAGAATTAAGGGTGTTTCACAAGCAATGGAGGCAAGTTGATTTCGTCATGAGTAGTCCAGGCCAATTCCAGTCTCCACTATGTCGCTAGATCCATGTACTATAGCCCCTTTACCTATTACTACTACAAAATCACAAATGATACACCTACCACTACTGAACCTTAGCCTCTCTCAAATGATCTTGACCTCCCTATTGCAGTTTGCAAAGATAAGCGTCATTATACCTCATCTACTACCCATTGCATCTCCCAATTTCTTTCTTATGACCATCTTTCACCATCCTATAAATCCTTTTTGGCATTTATTGCTATTATATCTGTTCCTAAAACAGTGTAGGAAGCCTTGTTGTTTAATCGGAAGGATGTAACAAAGGAGGAGATGGATGCTCTAATTAAAAATAATACACGGGAATCGGTAGATCAACTTGAA